CGCAGTTGTAATTAAACTTTCCGTAAAAACTTTTATGCATCAATGTATAAACTATAAAATATACTATGACAATGGATTGAACAACTTTGAAATCTGGTAAGTACTCATAAGAATATTTCTAATTCATAAGAATTTCTCTATCAACAACCGAAATTTAAAAGGGGAAAATAAAAATTCAGCGGCTTTCTTCGGAAGGGTCAAACTCGAAGGGAGACTTTTCGGGTTGAGAACTCTGATCAGCAGCATCATCCGGGTCACGAGAAGGGTCAGATTTGTTCAAGGCGGCGCGAGCCTTCTCGAGCAATGGCTTGAATGCGAACTCTATGGCTAGCCAGCCAAAAGCTAAGGCACTGACTACCACTGCTGTTGATTTCAACGAACTTGTCTTCGCCATTGTTGATAGGCTATATAGAAAAGGATTCGACTGCTTTTTCTGAGGTTTACAGACGAGGGTTTTAGGTCGTCATCCTCGAGAATACTTATAAGGAGAGAATAAACTTGGTTGCGTGGGCTTTAAGACAAGGAGGGTGGCTTACGGCCTAAGAAAAGAAAATTGGGCTCCATTAATTAGGGCCTCCAACTCCTAATATGTACCACTATCACTAAAGAATAGGTTAAAATATCATGGTATAGCCAGTTTTCACACTGGTTAATGAAAAATAGCCAGCGTTTATCAAGTTAATGAAAAATAGCCACTATTTTACTGCAACAGGGACTGGTCCAGTATAATATACGGGAGTTCTGGTGCATTTGTGTACGAACTCCAGCATATTATGCTGGACCGGTATACTTTGCTAACTCCTGTAAAATTTGCGGGAGACTGGAGCACCAGTGCTCCAAACTCCAGTATATTATACTGGACAATTGTACTTGCTGGAACTCCCGTAAAATTTGCGGGAGTTCCAGCATAATTATGCTTGAACTCCCGTAAAATTTGCGGGCGTATTTTTCCGGATTTTGAACAGTGTTTTCGCTCAGATTTAAAGTGGCTAAATTTCGATGACTTTTGAAACTTGGCTATTTTTCAACGACCAATGCAAATTTTATACACTTTTTCAAATACCGAATATAAATAATTTCTGAAGCTGCTAAAAATGAAAAACACTCTTCTTTATTGACACTGATTTTTGTTAACAGAAACTATGGTTACTTATATGTGTAATGTTAGTGTAGTTTTGAGTTAGGCATACGTCTCCATAAGTTTGCGAGGACAAATTGAGTGGATTTGAATTTTCATTCATTAATGAATAATGGTCCCTCTTTTGGTTCGTATTGTATCATATCTTCTACTACTATTTACTTAGCAAATACTAATAGAATAGCTAACTTCACTTTCAAAGTTCCAACAGCTATTACGACGTGTTTATTTCTATCATTATTTCTACACAATTAAATACAACTACAATATGATACAACTTAAATACAATTTTTATACAAAATTTATACAATATGTCTTTTGTATATTTTGTATCTGATTTATACATAATAAAAATAAATTTCATACAACTAATTATATATTATACAATTTATCTTTACACTTTCACACATTATTTTCTACCTAGTTAAATACAACTACAATAAATACAACTTAAATACAAATTTTATACAAAATTTATACAATATGTCTTTTGTATTTTTGTATTTTTTTTTATACATAGTAAAAACAAATTTCATACAACTAATTATATATTATAAAACTTATCTACAACTTATCTACAATTTTCATACATTTTTCTACTCAATAATTATACAAACTAAATATCATACAAACTTAAATATAATTTTTAAATAAATATTATTCAACTTTCGTACAATAGTTAAATAAATAAATAAATAATAATATATATATAGTATATATATATATATATATATATATATATATATAACAGAATACAATTTTATTACAATTTTTCTACAATTTCTGCAATATAATGTATGTCATATCTTCTTCTTCGAGTTTCAATCTGAAATTCAGCCAAAACCAAGTCTAATCTTCACCAAAACCCCTCAAAATTGAGATATAAACTCCAAACGATATTCCCAATTATTTGCAACAATGCCCAATCCAAACAAATTATGTTTGAAAATCCAAATTCGAATTCAAAGCTTCAAAGCTTTTTAATGGCTGTCAATGGTGGAATTGCTGCTCTCTTTTCCTTTGCTTTATATTACTGAAATTTGGGTTTGAGAGATACAGAGAGACGTAGAGAGAATTCTCAATTCTTTGCAACAACATCCAATCCAAACAAACAATATCTTTTGAAACCCAAATTCGAATTCAAAGCTTCAAAGCTTTTTAATGGTTGTCAATGGTGGAGGGGTTACAGATTTTCGCTGGTTTTAGAAGAGGAAATAGTGGGTGGTTGAAGAGGAAATCGTAGGGTGTGGTTTGATACGTGGTGAGGAGGTATGATTTGGAGGGAGAAACTTGGGGGGAGTGGGAATATACGGTAGAGTTAAATTAGGAGACTAATTAATACCATTAAAACCCCTAAAATGTACATAAATGGTAATTAGGTATATAAAAGATAATTATATTAAAATTTATGCATGGAGGGTAATATAGTTTACTATATAGCATAGGAATGTAAAAATCCCAAAAAGGGGTCAAGATATTACTGGATTACATTAATGATTAATTTATGGAGAAAATCTCAATTTATACCCATTAAGCCCAAACTATTTACCCTTAAATACCCAAATCTAAACTATTTACTTTTCCTACCTATGCAACCAAGACTATTTACCCGGCCCACATGGTTTCTTGATATCCGATCCAAGTCACATTAGGAAGATCTGTGATTTGGCTTATCAAATTGACCATCTTGGTTATGGTAGCGATTTGTGTATATATACACAGAATAAATAATATCTCCTATGAATAGAATTTATATAGGAATAAAAGCGACAATACTTGCATATAAGAATAAGACCAAAAGGCTCTAATAAATATTACTATTACCTACATCAATTAATACTACTATTTGTTAATAACATTTACTTCTAAATCAACAACAGCTAGATATTAATTATCATTTATTATCTATAAAATTATTACGAACAAAATTTAAACAAGAAAGGAAGGTGAAACGACCTATATTACTCCTCTTTTTCTCTCTATATTGAATGCCATTTTGTTTCTATGTTATTCATATAGAATTTCACTTAATTATACAATTGTTTTCTTTTTGCTTTTTTTGTATGTATGTACGTCTTATATTACATATTTGTTCTTTTTATTTTTGATATTATGCGTGTATGAAGACCCACCATTGTTGAGCTTGAAGCTTCAGAATTTGAAATTTTATTTTGAAGATTTATTGTTTGATTCGATGTGGGTGCTATAAAATATTGCTTATAGTATCTTCGAGTAAGCTTCCCAAATCTAAATTTTTATGTGTATTTGAATATCCACCATTGTTGGGCTTGAAGCTCAATTTTATTTTTGAAGATTTCTTGTTTGATTCAAAGTGGGTGCTGTTATATATTGCTTATAGTACCTTCTGGAAGCTCATACTGAAATTTGATAGCATTTGGAGCTGATTTGAGGTGATTGAGATCGAAATTTTCAGCTGAAAATCGAAGAAGAATACAACTACCAAATAATATACCGCTACGGTATACAATATGATGTAGGAGTATATAGCTATACTACTATTATAGTTTACAATATACTACAACGGTATATTGTAATATCGAAAAAGAATACAGTATACCGCTACAGTATACAATATACTATAGGAGTATATAGTTATACTGCAACAATATACTATTACAGTATACAATATATTGTTATAGTATACTGTAATAATATGCAATATACTATAACAGTATGCTGTAATAGTATACAATATACTATAATAGTATACTTATTACCCGTAAATTCAGTTCCATTTCCCTTTTAATTTGCTTTAAGCTTTTACCCAGCGTGAGGGGCAAATTGAAAATGAAAACAAAAAAAATTATAGTATGCTATATAATGTAACGGTGTATTCTTACAATTAGACCCTTTTAGAATTTTTTAAAATATTTATTGACAACTTATATTATTGCGGTTTAATAATTGAATTAAATTTTTTTTTTTTACTCTTTGCGTACAATTGTATACCCTGTTGGTATAGCTATATACTATATCGGTATCATATGTTAGTTAATATTTTTTGGTTGTATTAGCTACATTTAATTGGTATACAATTTGATTTTTCTTTAGTAATAATATAAAGAAAAGAATAATAAAAAATAGTGAAAACATTAAATGAAATTAGATTATGAAGAGAAAAAGAATATAAAAAAAAAAAAGAAGTTAAATGAAATTAAAAAAGGAAAAAAGAAAAAAATAAGAAGAAAACGAGAAAAAAGAAAAGGAGAAAAGAAAAGAAGCATAGAAAGAAAAAAGAATTGGAGAACAAAGAAAAAATTTCCCACAAAAACTACTATGGGTAGGAAATATAATTAGTTTATGGGTAGAAAAATAAATGGGTAGACAACGATAAATAATTTTATTTTTGTGGGTAACTGTGTCATTCTCCCTAATTTATGGCTTAATGCTCAAATCAAAACACTAATTTGTAGTAGAAGTGCCCTAGTTGAACCGCTCGTCTAGTTTCACAATAACAGATTATGTGAGTTAACGCTTCTTTATTCCTTTTTTCGTTCCATAATTATGTATTTCTAAGGTTTTAAATTTGCTTTATTTTTGGTTTGTATTTTATGAACAATGCATGGTACCACCCAGTAGTGCGTCCACTGAGCAAAATCTCACAAATAGTATCACCAACCCTCCTATGGACTAGCATTCTTTTCAAGGAATTATCTCTGACATTGACATAACAACAATCAGCAATCTTTTCCCTTTAACACCCGTGCTAACAGAGGTTTGACAGCACCCCCTGATTAAAATGCTGTAAATGAATCAAAGCTTAAACCAAGTAGTTGAAAAAAAAAATGGACGCGAAGCTAAGATGGTTGAGTGACTCGACCAGGAGGATCAAGACTGAATGCAGTAGAAAGAGCCACAAGTAACTACCACATTTGCATTAGAATAACACCTCTAAATCTCATGTTAAGCGCTCAGAGACTACTTGTTGCATGACACTAATATACTTGCGGTAGAAAACTGAGTAAATATCTTCATCCGTACAGGCATGTTTACATAGACAACATCAAAAAATTAGAAGAGCTAGAACGCATTTAGCGGCCTCGACCACGCCCACGTCCACGCCCACGTCCGCGCCCACGCCCCAAAGGTTTTCCTGAGGGAGGAGATTGGTAGTTAAAAAGTCAGAGAAGGTATGTAACAACAAAGAAGAATATGCCATGGTGGCAGAAAAGATGATAAAGGCTTTCAAATGCAGAATAAGATTATAATTATACCGGCAGTTGGCTTCTTAGGCTTGACCCTAGGTGTTTCTTCCACCAGCAGTGTCTCAAGATTCAAGCTGTCAGGAAGGATATAATAGCGGATGTTGTTACCCCTCACACTCAGGTGATCCAATGTCACTGGATTCTTTCCTTTTAGCGTAATTTTGACAGCTTTCAAGTGTGTGTTCATGCTGACATCCACACCTGTAGAATTCAAAAGTACCGTCAGCACCTCACTCTCAGCCATAAACAATCTGAAGATATACTAATCGAATTGCCAAAGTAGCCACTGTTCTTAGCTAATAAGACATGATGTGCTTAAAACAGTTTGTATTCGCATATCAGACCTAGCAATATTCATCAACAGTCGTACACGACAAAGAAAGGTAAAGTGATCCACATATTGCGCAAGCGCAAGAAAGCACAAAGGTCTTCTAGTACACTTTAGGAAAGCAACACAAACAGTTCGTAGCCTGCAGCAGAGAGTTCTCTACTATAGACATAGCCCTTGCCCCCCAAGTGCTGGTATTACATCATGGTTCAGGTTCTCCTCTTCCTCCTCTGTAAATTGCATTCTACTCAAAGTAACTGCTGATTGAGAAAAAGAACAGCAATTGTGTAGCTTATTCACATTGTTCCCACAGATATTATGCAACCAAAGGAATCTGGATGTTACACAAAAAGGTGACGGGGTAAATTCTTATAGTAGATGAGGAGCTGACTCAAGAAAATGCAACTTTCCACTTAGGATCTAGAGACGGCCAAAGAACCACACTTGGCCGGAGCTTACTTTCCTAAGCTAGAATAAGTGGAAGAGATCCTCGTATTAACCGAACTCAAAGAACAAGATGACTTGACAATTTCAACGGCCAAATGAATCATACTACACTACTAGAGTATTAATACAATTTAAAACGATATTGTTGAACCTTTTTTTAAAAAAAAAAAACAGATAATTTCATTGAGGATAAAACTAGAACTGTGGAATTATTGCCTATCTTCCTTCTCCTATCATCCTATCAAAAGTTTAGATGGAACAGGAAAAGAATCCTATATTCCCACATCCTGCTCCTAGTTACGAAATAACCTTCTGTTCCTTTCTCAATTCTCTGTATATTGTCCAAAAAAGACATAGTGGTTTCGTTTCCCAAGCTATTTCTTCCCCTCCAAATTCTATCAACTCTCCAACTTGAAACTGCTTCACCCAACATTCGTGGAAACACCTAAAACGAGATACTATAGACAGTCCTAAAACGAGAAACACCTAAAACGAGATACTATAGACAGTCCTTATCCTCCTCGCTCTCTTTGCACATATACACCAATCACCATAAGTCTCCTCCTATTCCGCAAACATCAGCTTTAATAATTGCATCCCGTGCTGCACATTAGGTGGCTAGAGCAACTTTCTCTGGCGCCTTGGTGCTCTATATTGCCTTACATGATTCTGAATGTTGCGTACAGTCAGCTTCATACAGTAGGGGTTCATGATAAAATATCCTGATTCCTTCCAAACTACCCTATCCTTGTTTCCTTTATGCTAAATGTAACAAAACAGTCCACTCATGGTATTATGCATTTTGGGCCTAGGTTTTGTACAGCTTTAAAATTCGTCATTAGGGTCTAAAACTTGATTTTGCAGATACCTAACATCTCTCCCATGTAGTGCCGATGTGGGATTTGCTTAAACTATTACAGACTCTTCCCTTAAAGGCTTAGTGTCCTTCTGAAGTTTGTCTCATCATTGCCATTGCCTAAGGTTGCACGTGGCACACCTCTAATACAACATGTAGCAGTCTAGTCCACTAGTGCTAATGTCCACCTTAGGCCTAGGCTCGTGTGACTTGGTACCAAGGTCTAAGACTTGCTTTGGAAAATACTCAAAATTTATGTTTCGCCGTTGTGAGATTTACTTAGGGTGTTGCATTGAAACTACATGTCGGTACTTGGGGTTGCCACTTGCCACTGCCACTTGCAATGAATCCCATAAAGGCACACCTTTAGCCTAACATAAAAAGTCAATTTAAGATTGGAAAGAAGGCACAATTTGATTTAAAAATCCTAGACTAGACTAAACAGAGGACAAAAGAATTTGACAAACTGCTTTCGGTGTCAAGGAATAGAGCTTATTGCATCTGTAATTGTTATTCCTAGTACAAAACTAATTCCACACTTTACTTTTCTTCTCAAAGTTTGGTCCGTGAAAATGAGATCAGTTCTCAACTGCTAGTCAAAAAAGTAACAGTGCACTTGCATAGCAAATACAACAAGCTGACAACAGCATAAATAATACCAAATGCAACAATGAAGAGCACTCTTTTGATACCACAACCTGCATACACAGTACAACTAGTAAGAAAAACTTCCATATCCGCTTATTAAGCTCATAGATTGACAGATTTCAGCTCATGTTCGACTTCTGACCATGCTTGGTAAACATCAAATTCCAGAAGGGACACCCAGTACACGACATTACCACACTTTAGATTACATAATGCCAATTTAATGTACCTATCTAAACATCAACTTCCAGGAGCCAAGTTCATGACAGGAGTATTATTGAATGCAATTTCTAAGTGACCGAGCCTAACACTTTAAGCTTGAGATTGGGAAAGAACTTAATGCTTGCAAAAGAAATCATTCCACATCCAAGCACTAAGATATAGAAGATACTGACATATCCAGAAAGGTATAAAAGATATTGCTGATTATCTTGAACATGCTGTTTTAATGATTGTATGAATTTGCACTAGTTTAATTTCTTGTCCTCCGAAGATTTAAATCCATAGAATATTCTAGGGGAACGAGCAACTTGTGCACATCTAGAGCAATGAGGTGAAGATTACAGTACTCTGTATTCCACATGGAAAATAAGAAGGATCTATAACCAGACATTTTACCTTCCAATATTGCATGTTGAATCATCCCATTCTGATTCATGGGTAAGCACAAAACATCAATTCAACTCAAACCACTTAAGCACTCCATTCACATGTGTAGAATAAACATTATTTTCAGTGGTGTGCATATATTAATTCAACTGAAATCACTAGAAATTCCAAGCATTACTATGTACAGATCGTAAAAAAGAAAAAGAAATATTATTACCTAGACACCTATTGGGCACCTCCGTAAATAAATACTATAATTAGCAATTGTATCTGAAAAGCCAATCGTATATGTCAGCTGCTAACATTGTCAAGTAACTAATGTATGGAAAGCATCAAATAAAACCCTAGTAACGAAATGAAAACCGTACAATAACTAAAACTTGGAAAAACGAAGCCGTTTAAGCTCAGTGGAGAGACTGAGAGGTAGGGGGGAAAAAGAGATACCTGTAATAGTTCCATGAACAACGGTGCCGTTCTTGAGCTCCATGGAGACCGTCTCATTATTTAACTTCATTAGGAATCTGCAAAGACATAAGTAAATTTAAATCCACAACAAATTTAACGGAAAAAATAACTCCATGGAACAAAATTCGAAGATTGAAAATGTACCTCACTAGCTTCATTGTCGTCGACGAAGATGTACAGACGCTTAGGGTTTTACAGAAGCAGAGAGCAAATTGCTTTCTTTCCAATTGTGGGTTTTAGGGCACGGATATAGCTGCAGGGGTTAAGCTTCGACATACTAATAAATACTGCTCTTCCAGTCTCAACGACGTCGTCCGCATTTTCATGGGCCGTTATGCATTGCAAGGCCCAAATAGAGTTTTCCAAGGACGATTTCACAAGGGAAATTTTCATAATTACTGAAGAAATCAAAAATTATTTCACAATCTGCAACTATTAGTTAAATAACATATTCTACAACATAATAAATATGATAAATGTATAAAAGTTATACCCTCAAATACGGTATATTTCCTATATAATAGGAAACTGATTCTGAAAGTACTCCCTTAATAATGCAATCTATAACTAAAAACAAACACCCAAAAATAAGAAATTATCTTTATATAGGGTAACAGAAAGGAAATTAATACAACTTGCAATCAATTATTTCCCAGAAAACCTCCTTTTCCTTCGTTACCATTTCAACCTATAAATCCACTTATATACAATTCAATTCCAATATATATCTCGTTCTCCTTCGTTTGATAGGGTATGTTTTTTTTTCCTTTTTTTTATTCTTAAAAGTGTAACTTCAGTCATTTAATACATAATAATGGCATATTGGCTTTGACCAAACTCCCCTTTTCAACAAAAAAAGTTTCTCTGATTTTTTTTCTTTGCCAGTACCTTAGCTATGAGTCAATATTATTTTAAATATACATACACGCAAACACAACATGTATATACCTTTTTATATTTGGAATAATATTTAACTCATATTATATACATATAGTATACTTAATATGTGATCACTATGTATTTTACATTTGAAGTAATATATCATATAATTTATTTACATATGTGTAGTATACATAATATATATCATTTATATTAGCATGAATATATACTAACATATATTCTTTATATTCGTGTGTTCATATAGTATACTATACTTATAGTATATATTTATATATTATTAATATTCTATATCTATGTGTGTGGTGTGTGTGTATATATATATATATATATATATATATGGTGATAAAGTAAAATCATTCATTGAAGAATAATTCGATGTTATAACGAAAAGGAGATGGAGAGATGAAGAATAAATTTATATGCATCCTTCGCCGATGAACATAAATGAATGTAATCTAGGAAAATTCAGTCCTAAAACTTTTATTCCATGGCTGGAAAAGACTATGAAAATAGTTGAAGCCACCGTTATATGAAGAAAATGGAAAATTAAGTTTAAATCTAGAATTTTGGATTGGGTCTGATATTGCTCACACGAATGAAGGCCCCATCGGCAACCTAAAAAAAAAACTTGTCGGCAGCAGCACCATATCGATGTTAATTGCATTCTACTATGAGGAGATAATTGAAGAAGAGAGAAAATTTGATAAATTTGAAGTAGAAGAAATCCCTAATTCTATATTAAGTGGAGATACTTTTAAGAAAATCATAGATAATTATGCATTTAAGATTCTCATAACTATAATCACAATCCCTAATTTCATGTTAATTTAATTAAGAGGGTAAAAGATTGTACTAGTTGTATATTATGTTATTATTTTAAAATAGTTGTAACTTTTATAAATAACTCTTCAAACACTTGTATTCTGGGTAAATTTCTCCGACAACTATTTCTCTTTCCATCAAGCCTGTTCGTAAAAATTGCACGGGGCGCCCTATTTGGGCGCCCCCTTTTAACCTGTAGCCGCTTTGTCTTTCTGTTTGCACCCGTACCCACTTTTTAAAAAACTTCAGCATCCCTTTCTCCTCCCCTTCTCCTCTTCTTCTTCTTCTTCTTCTTCTTCTTCTTCTTCTTCTTCTTCTTCTTCTTCTTCTTCTTCTTCTTCTTC